AGTATTTTATCGAATACGTTATAGTAGAGTGTTATGGCTCCACTATAGCAGAGCTTCACAACATCTCAGATCAAAACTCTCATGTAGGATGACTTCAACAATATATATTTAATTCATTTCAAAAACAGGTTATCCATTAAAACAACAAGTTGAAAGGTTCAGTAAGAAAAACAAATCCGATACGAAGTAGTTCAAGTCAAAATTGTCTAATGATTGCTGAATAAATTTTGCGGTAATCATTATGCCAAATGTACAGGCGGGAATACAAACTTTATTAAGTTAGGATGAACCTGTGTAATAATATTCTGACTTTTGTGTAGTTACCTGCCAGACGCACGCAAATGAAATTATAGTGGCGGCGCGCGGGTTTGTCTTCTATGTCACGCTCTATGACACGTGCCCTTGGGAATAGCACGAGAGCTTCTGTTCATGGTTGCAAAGTCCTTCGAGTAAAGATCATCCTCATCGTCTTCCGGACTTTTATGCCTGCTGGGCCGTCAAACTACGACAACTTGGCGACGAGGAAGCTTTCCTGATCTGCGCGGAAGCCGACATAGCAACGGGTGACCCGGTAGCGACGGGAGCAGTGCCGCAAGTCTTCGCTTGACTGGGCTTCATCGAACCTTTCGACGAATCGACGAGCGACTGACCATCGTATGAGGAATGATTGACATCGTTTCTTCTGGTCAACAGAATCGCCGAGGAAGACAAGGTACAAGTATTTCTGAGTTTCATGGGCTCGAAAACGAACAGTCTCCTTAAGTCGTTGACCATGCCGGAGTTGCCAGCAACAAAAACGCTCGACCAGCTTAAAAAGCTTTTGGGGGACCACCTGCCACCGAAACCATCGGTTATCAGCGAGCGTGTAAACTTTCACAGAAGAACGCAGCTCGATAACGAATCTGTATCAACGTTCGTTGCAGAATTACGTTAGTTGGCCAAAACGTCCGACTTCGAAGCCCCTCTGGACAACTCCTTGAGAGCCCGCTTTGTGTGCGGTCTACAAAAAGAGGATATTCAGCTTGTGTTGTTCACAGAAGACGACAAGTTAATTTTCCAGAAAGCCGTCGAGAGAGCACTGGCCATGAAAGCAGCGAAAAAGAACGCAGCAGAAACACATGCGTCGGAACCTAGCATGTCGGAAGTACACAAGGTGAAGGCCGTCGCGGATGCGGACGTGACACAGCAAGACTGTTATCGTTGTGGCGTAGCGAAACATGCCGGCCGGATATGCCCGTATATTGATTATATCTGTTTCAAGTGTAACAAGAAGGGTCATATTCAACGAGTGTGTCATGCTCACAAGCAAAAGAAACAGGAGTGGACGCCACGTAAAACGATGAAGACATTGGTTCCTGTTAAAGCACCAAGTAGCACGAAGAAAATCGTTACGTCTGGTCTGGAACCGATTAAGATTACGATACAAGTGCAGGAAGTTGCCTTGGAAATGGAATTGAACACAGGGGCAACTGTTTCTGTAATGTCATTGCAGCAGTTTAATCAGCTATATTCTTCAACCAAGGTCATGGCAACGGCACTGAAGCTACGCACGTTCAAAGGAGACATCGTCCAGCCTGTCGGTGTGGCTCACGTCAAAGTGCAGTATGGACAGCAGAAGGCTGAGCTTCCGATCTACATCACGAGAGAAAAAGGACCACCCTTGCCAGGCTGACAGTGGCTGCAAGCCATCCCATTGAACTGGCATCAGATTTTAGGGCTCAACAGAGTGGCCACGTCAGAAGTTCCAGCATTTTCCCGGCAACGCACAAAGCCTGGTGCACTTCTTAACAAGTGGCAGGATATGTTCAAGAACGAACTGAGGACTATTACTAAGAAAGGGGCCGAGTTATCGCTTAAACAGAATACCGTACCAAAATTCCTCAAGGCAAGAAATGTGCCGTTTGCCTCACGACCTGCAGTCGAGACTGAACTAAAGAAAATGCAGGACATGAGCATCCTATCACTAGTTAAGACGGTGATCCCACGACGCCAGTTGTACCAGTAGTGAAGAAGGACGGTGGAATAATGTTGTGTGGCGAATACAAAACCACCGTGAACCCTTTCCTTGACACTGACCAGTATCCGCTCCCAAGGATCGAAGACCTGTTCGCCGCACTCACGGGAGGCCAGGAGTTCTCAAAGATTGATCTAAATTCTGCCTACCACCAGGTCATGTTGGCTGAGAAGTCGAGGACGTACCTAACTCTGAACAGATACAAAGGACTGTTTGCCTTAACCGTTCGGAATCTCCTCAGCTCCAGCCATATTTCAGTGGATTAGGGACACAATGCTGAATGATCTGAAAGGCGTCAGTTACTACTGGGATGACGTCCTTATCGCCGGTAGAACGACGGAAGAGCATTATATCAATCTGGAAGCCATTCCAAAGCGGTTTTCAGAGCGCGGAGTACGCGTGAAGAAAGAAGTGTTCATTTTTCGAGAATGGCCTGAATTACTTGAGTCATGTCATAAGTGCAGCAGGTGTCAGTAGGACGGCAGAGAAGATTGAAGCTCTTCTAAAGGTTCCTGCACCCACAGGCAAACAGCAGTTGCAGTCATTCTTGGGTATGTTAAATTACTACGGGAAGTTTGTTCCACGGCTGTCTACCCTCGTGAGCCGGCTTTACAGACTGCTGCGTCAAGACCAGCCCTGATGTTGGGGCAAAGCGTGTAAGGCGGCGTTCGATAAATGAAGACAGCATTGACGACAACGTCGATTTTGGCCTACGACGACCCAAGTAAGCCCTTCTAAGTTGCGTGCGACGCATCCCATTATCGCGTAGGTGCTGTTCTTTCACATATAAGCGAAGATGAAAATGCTCGTCCTGTGGCGTATGCATCGCGAACATTGACTGAAGGTGAGAAGTACAGTCAATTGGAAAAAGAAGCATTAGCCATCATTTTTGGCATTGAAAAGTTTCACTTTTACATCTACGTACCATGTTTCACGCTCGTCGCGGACCACAAGCCGCTGAAAACTATTTTGGGACCAAAGACAGGCATTCCACCTATTGCAGCAGCACGTCTGCAGCGCTGGACTGTGAGTTTGTCAGCGTACAAGTAGTCATTGGTGTACAAGAGATTTAGTGACAAACGCAGAAGCCGATTTGTTCTCAAGATTTCCTCTCGAGAGTGAGAAGGACGACAGTTCCGAAGGAGAGGAGTCTTTCTGTGCATTGCACCTGTAGTCAATGCCGGTATCCTCTAAGGATATTGCACGCGCTACGTCGCGCAACTCGTTGCTTTGTCAAGTACTGGAACTCAGGAGCATGGGTTGGCCATCGCACGTGCAAGAACAACTACTGAGACCGTTTTATGATAGAGGCATGCAGATGAGTGTACATCAAGGGTGCCTAATGTACGGCATGAGGGTTGTCGTTCAGTCCCAGCTGCAGGAGCTCGTGCTCGACGAACTGCACCAGGGTCGTCCCGGCATCGTACGAAGTAAGGAGCTGGCTTGGCTCGCAGTTATGTTTGGTGGCCATCAATGGACACAGACCCCGAAAAAAAGGTACGAAGCTGCCAAGCATGCAAGGAACAACGTAACGACCGATGCAAGGCACCTCTTCAACCCTGGGCACGGCCCACAGCACCGTGGAGACGACTACACCTAGGCTTTGCGGGGCCTTTTCGCGCAAACATGTTCCTAGTATTGGTGGATGCTCACTCGAAGTGGGCAGGGGTGTTCATCATGCAGAACACGACAATCGAGCGCACAGTGAATTACCTGCGTGAGCTTTTCTGCAGATTCAGAATTCCGGAAACAGGCGTCTAAGATAATGGGCCGCAGCTGGTGTCAGAGAAATTCAAGGCGTTCATGAGGAACAACGGAATTCGACATTTAGTGAGCGCCCGGCATCACCCGACCACATGCGGCCTGGCAGAACGGCTTGTTCGAACACTAAAATCTGCACTACGCAAGTCAACCGCTGGCGAGTCTCTCGGAAAAGCTTTGCAACACTTCTTGTTGGCGTACCGGAATACTCCTTATTCCACAACAGGAGAGACTCCAGCAAACTTATTGATGAACAGAAATCTGCGTACCAGGCTGGATGTAATCAAGCCTATGGTAGAGGGGAAAGTGATGTACAAGCAATTTATGCAAAGTATACAGAAAAGGTCAAGCAGATAAGATTTCTGCCTGATGATCATGTCCTAGTGCGAAACTACAAGGGTTCGCCAAGGTGGCTACGCGGCACAGTCCTGAAGAATACGGGTCCGGTGTCTTACCAAGTTCCGGTTACTACACCTCGAGGCAAGTTCATCTGGCGTCGGCACGAGGACTTTCTTTTGAGTCAAGAGCGGCCGAAGGCAACACCAGTAACGTTAGACAGGGACGACACTGAGCGGTTCCTGATCTACCCGCCAAGCGAACTAAGCGTCCAGACCACGGAACAAACACATGGGCTACAGCTGCAGCCCCCCGCTGTTCAGCAACAGCCGTCCGAGCCTCCTAACCCATCCGTTTGAGAATGACGTTACGCGTAGAGAGGACGACGTCCACCTGATAGATATAGAGCTAGCGCCTAACTTTTGTATAAGACTACCATTGCAGCTACTACGTAATTAAAAGGGGAAGAGTGTTGTCTAGTTACCGCCAGGCGCGCGCTGCGGAACTTACAGAGGCGGCGCGCGTGTTTGTCTTTTTTGTCGCGCTCTGTGACAAGTGCCCTTTGGAATAGCACAAGAGCTTCTGTTTCTGGTTGCTCGTATCTTGGAGTAAAGATCGTTCACATGGTCCTCCGGACTTTTATGTCTGCTGCCCCGTCGAAATACGACACTGACCATGATAAGTGTAGGCTTCTTTATCACAAATAATGTTATTGTATTTTCCATTCAAAATATTAAAAGTGTAAAAATCTCTAGAAAGTGCGCATCTGGTACCGTAGATATTGAATATTCTTTAAAGGCCCACAACCGAGGTCATTGAAATCCTACTGAAAGAAAGGATGGTGTAATATGATTCGTTTCATAAACATAGAAAAGCTTATAAAAAAGAGATGACTCATAAGTAATACGGGTTCTTTAATATTTTATACGTTCCTGTTTGATTATTGAACACATTCCTATACTTTTTTTTTATTACTAGGGAAACACTTTTACAGTTCAGTTTTTTGGTTTTCAGGAACTTCCACGTATGGACGGAGTGCTGGATGGAGCGTCCGGACCTGACCGAGGGCTTTGGTGGCTGGCAGGTAGTTGATGGAACCCCTCAGGTGTTGAGCGATGGTGAGCACGAATACTGCATGCCACTAGTTCAATAACCAAGGTTCTAAGTAATTCGATTCGTGTTTCTGCTCGGCCTACTTGGCGTCATGTTAAGGCATTCAAGCTAAATATACTTATTTGTCACTAACGGAGCTATAATTAAAATTCTACAAGGCCCGTCCCGTATAAACTAAGCAATTGCAGAAAGCAGAAAATTCCTCCAGAATATAAGGGTAGCGGTGGGGAGATAATGCGGAAGCTTGGTAACATTATTTTATCTGGATTAGGAAGCAAGGTAATAAGAGACACAGATAACATAATAACATCATGCTATCTGTGGGGAAAATTAGTGAAACAAACTTGTGAGGAAAATCTAAAAGAAGATTTTTTTTCGTCCCGATAATTTGTTCTCCTGAAACGAAGTCAATAAATATCCACGATACACAGACGTATACATTGTGGGCCAAACGCGTAGAAATTATATTGTAATTTATTTTAAATCCCGTCGTACGCGTCCTGAACTACCATTTTACTCGTGCCAATGATGCCGGTGCGGTGTCTGATAGTATTAGTATCTTACAAGATCTTGGTAATTATCGTTTTATTAATTTTGTAAGGATTTGACAATAAATTAATATATTCTGAGAGAGCGACAATACCTGACTGCTCAAAACGAGAACCAAACCCAGGAGGTACGCGTACTGTCAGTTGTGACGCACTACGTGAAATAGAATTTAACAAAATGCATGCTCAATTATCAAATTAGAAAAAAAGCTCGAGGTACACCTAAGCATTTCTTATGAGTTGTGAAAGCGAAAGCATGCAAACCGTTCGTCCGCTCCTTTTGTCGTCTGCTGCGTACTAGAGCGCGCGCGCTCCGGGATCTCGGAGGCCATGGCACAGCGGCCAATGAGAGCCCCTTCGAAGCGCGCGCCAGCCAATGGTACCAAAGGCGGATCGCGCAAACTAGGAGCCGTTTTCACGCTTCAAACTGGTGACGCCAGCTCGCTCCATAAGACAAATGATGCTTTCACATTAAAAAATATGTACATATGTTTTCCTGAACCTAAAGAAGATAACTTTATTACTCTATAGAACAAAATGTAGAGAAGCATCGATACATCTTTTTCGTCGCAGGGAAGTACCAAGTGGGCCCGTATCCTGTCAAAGCAATACAACAGGACAAAACAGACCTGAAGTATGACGGAAAGTACGTCACTGCCGAAGTAAAGGCTGACTACAAATACCACAAGAAGGATTCTAAAGAGCCCAGCGGATGGAAGCTGCTGGCGGTTCAGAAAGACATGTAAGTCGGACGAAGAGCTTGAACTTAACTCCAGCATGTGCGACCATAATCATCATAATTCAGCAGCAGGCTCAGCGTGCAGTAGATTAGCGAAGTAACGCTGGGGTGATGAGAGGATGCAGTGTGACGGTCATTTTGTGAAACTATAGGGCGGTCTTACGTGACGTACTTTCGGTTTGAAATCTCACCGGACATAAGGTGAAAGTTGCTTAACGTTTTCCTCATGTGCGTCTTCCTTTTCGTGGACGGAGTGCTTTTCCCGTAGCTCGAGTTATGCGTCGTGATCGGCTGCGCCAGCGAACATGGTCGGGAACATAGAAGAGTATTGGCTAGAGCTCGATTTTTATACATACCGGTTTTTATTTGTACTTAAGACGAGCCTGTGTTCGAGAAGTCGGCCTGACGGCCAAACGGCACCGGTAGATGCCGCCAAGTCTACTCCAGTGCTACTCGTCATGCTTGTGCATCTCATGAACACCAGAAACGACACCTATAACAAATTGTATACATGGTGCATGGAAACTATAGGGAAAGCGGCGGACAGGCCGGAACGTGACTTACCAGAAGTGAAAAGGCATTTCGTAAAACCACCCTGCAAGCGCCTTAGACGACGTTTAAGGTGGTTGCAGCGACATAAGCGACATTGTCGCTTTTGTCAACCCTGACGCTGTATTTTAGCTCGACATGACCGGGATTTTTAACTTTCAGTGTTTGCAGAAGAACACTGATAAACGTTCTTTTTTGTTATTCGTTTTAAGCATCGGTTACAACACGAGAGCCAAAATTTGACTGACTTACGGTATATCTTTTTTTTCTATTAGTTGTTGTTAATGGTATTCCGTGTATGAGCTGGTTCTCATTATTGCTGATTTTGTTGTAGAAGCTAGTCATGGGTAGTTGGACGACCGTGTTGACGTAGATACCAATATAATGAAAGTTACTTAAAAGGAGGGACGAGGACAGACATGTACATGTCTGACCTTGTCCCTCTCGTTTGTTTAGCTTTCATTATTTTAGTCATCTCTGACTTTTTGAAGAAATGCAATCGAAAAGTATACGGCGAGCAAGTCTTCCAAAATTAGTCTTCCGCGCTTCGGAACACAATGAGAGGCATTCCAGTCAGTGGGCAATATAGAGAACGTGTAGGAACCGCGCAATATGACGAAGCAGCCAATCGCGCACGGTCATTGGTTGAGGTCGGGGGAAAACAAAAGCGCGTGGCGCATTTGGGGGATAAACAAACGCACGAGGTGCGCAAAGAGCAGCTTGCACGCCCTATGTTACCTCGCTGCAGACAGAGCCGAAAGTTACGCATAATTTGTATAGTCCCGCACGTTCGCTTATTTTTCCGAACCGAAGTGATGTTTATCTTTGGCAATTGGGCTATCAAAGCCGAGTTGTTAAATCGAATCCATAAAAATAAAATACCTATTAACACTAATTTTACATTTCTCAAGTCACGACGAAGCCTGAGAGAAAAATTAACGCGGGGAGAACAAAAACTGTGCTCATTCCATGTTAATTTCATCGCCTTTATTTATCTTCCTTCTTAACTGTATTTTTTAGCTTTACAATTGTTTCGTTATAACATAAAATACCATACAAACGCCCAACCTAATGAGCTGGGAAAAAAAGCGTTTGCATATTTTAATCAACCAACAAACTCCCAACTTTGGAAAGTCAGGAAGCTGTAGGCGTTTACTGTCCACACCTGGAAAGGCGAACTACAAGTATAAAACTGAAAGGAGCCGAAGCTTTGGTTCGTCATTAATTCTCTCGTCCCGTGCCTCAGGAGCGAATACGGTTTCGCAGGATATATATTATAAAACCTACGACGTAATAAAGCAGTAGATTCTAAAAGATGCAAAACAAAAATAGTTGTAACCAAAAGTGCTGGCATGTCATACACGATGCAGGCCCGTGCGAAACGAGGCACCAAAGTCCCCGTACCTCCTCGGTGATAACGATCCCGGTAGAAGATTAAATGAATACCACCAAATCGAGATATCAACAAACCCCCCCCCCCCCTCCCTTTTTCTTTTTTTTTTTTTCTGGTCCGGTAAGATGGGGTTTGAGGGTTATAGGTTTATGGGAAATGTAAGGACCAGGGCGATTGCTGTTCAGCGGAGACCACTCCAGGGATAGTCATGAAAGCCAAGTCTGATGGGGCTGTTGGCTAATATGCGATGAATAGCAGGGGGAAGAGACCCCAACTGAGGCAAGACGTATTTATTTAGTCGATACACGTGAATTTTGTTGTCATTTTGAAAACGGCCACGGGTGACGAAAGAGGTTACACGTGGTATATGCCTCTGTCAGTTGCCTGCGACACGATACGGCCCAATATGTTTGCGGAAAAATTTGTTTTCCAATCCTCGTTTCCTGATAGAGGTTTAGACGCACACAGCGTCTCCAGGCGCGTAAGTTGAGGCAGTGTGCTTGAGATCGTAGTGAATCTCGCGGTTTACCACTACTCTGCCAAGTTGAACCAGCCGGCGCCTGGCGGCACTCCACTTTGCCGCGTGTGGTTCATGAGCAGTTCGTACTGATCACTCGTTGTACACAAAAAATAGTGTCCACAGTGCAAGACGCTTATTGTCCATCAAGATGATAGAAGGGAGAGAAACTAATGGTGTCTTGTAGTCTATTATATACGCATGTTACAAATGACAGGGGTATCCCAATTTCGATTATTATATTGGCGAGGGTCTTATGAAAGCGTTCTATCCGGCCATTGACCCAAGGAGGATTGGAGAAAGGTGTGATATAAACGGCAATGCATTCTTTCAGGACGGTATCTGCTGTTTCAAATAAGAACTGACAATCTCTCTGACTTAAAGAAAACGTCAGGCCACTGTGACCTTGTAGGGTACTGGCTTTAAAATTATGGCGTCAGCTTCAGCGGGCGCATTTGGGATTGCAATTGATTCAGCGTATCCAATGAAGTGATCAACAATGGTAACCATACAACAGTCGTTTTGTGAAGACGATAAAAATGGTCCAAAAAAGGTCAATTTAAACAAGCTAAAGTATAAAATCTGTGAAAATTAATGGCTGCAAAATTCACGTGCGGCTACTTGTAGGGTACTCTCGTTGTTGGCACTGTAAACAGGCTCGTGCTTATTTAAAAAAACAGTTTAATAAAACTCGGATCTAGAAGCGGGATATAAGCCGGCCAGATGTTTGGGCAAATCCCATATTGTCTAGTGTAGGGTCGTCCCGAAAATCGCGAAGATCAGCGCGCAAGCGTGGAAGTACCAGCGGGAGAGAAATTGTGCAATAAACGGTTTTGTCACGCAATAAAAAATACTGCGTTTCTTATCGAAAATCTTTGTTTAAAAGATTGGTTAGTATGGGAGCGTTTTTTTCAAAGGATTGGTTGCCTTTAAAGTGTCTTGTTTAAGAGACTGGTTGGTTTCGAATTGTTTTGCTTAAGAAATTTGTTGGCCGTTCTAAAGGACTAGCACTGCCTTCAATCATGATACCTTTACATGGTTCAGCGTAAAATGACTTAGTATTAAGCGAGGCTAAGTCAAAACAATCATCCATGTTATAAAAGCAATACTAAAATACTATGCTAGCTTTGATCGTGTTTGAAACAAAAAATTAAATTTAAAGTATTATTTTAGCATACTTTATATACTAAAAGTATAATTTTATATACTTATAGTTTACTTCCTATTTTAGCGGTCTGGTTCGCGCGTCGAGCTAGTTTGCCACCTGAGGTGCACATACTAACAGTACATGCCTCATATACTTTTCGTAATCTGAAAAGATACTTTAAGCACGCCTTGTTAAATGTTTAATGAAGGTGCCAAAATATCATACTTTTTATAAATTGTCTTTTACCATGAAGTAATGTTTCGTGCACCTCTTCGATGAGACATGGGGATGCCCAAATACTTGTTCTAAGCGAGACGAGGTTACAAAGGACATCATAATCAGTCAGTACAGTTACAATTCATCATACCCTTAGTGAACGACTGTGAATCGTTCACAGAAGTGCAGTCGCCCCTCGCTCAACTAGCTTCGGCCTAAGAAACAGTGAGTGCGTAGGCAAGCTGGTGATAGTAAATAATATTGTGTGAAACCCGACCCTTTGGTAAGAAAAAGAATTAATATTTTGAGTCGAGGAAAAAGACACAGGAGGAAACGTCTCACCCTTGCAGGGCTGGACGCCTCATCCTGACCGAGAAACTTGATCTTCACGGCGAAACGCACGAAGCCGAAGACATCACCCACACCTATAAAAACAAAAGTAAGCTACCAAACGTTTGCCTGCAAAACACCCTCCCGGATCCACCACCAAGTGAATTTGCATTGTCTGGTTCTGTCTTAACTTATTCCTAATCTTAATTTTTATTTACACAAAGGGGCGAACACAGGAGACGTGCGCGGCTGGCAGAAAGTACACAAAACCCGTACGCTGGATCGCCTCCAGGCCAATCTTCTGTGAACAAATAAACAACAATAAAATACACATAAACGAACATGGATGCAGGCAAACCACAAAGGTGGCACCAAGCGTACATAAATCGTAAAGAAAGCACGGCACATTCCGACTGAAATCACAGAGCTCGTTACGATCCGCAGGGAGGGGTGGGCATGTCGAGCAAAAGCTCGCGTTGACCGGTAGTAATCCTGGCTCTAATCTCCGCCTCGATCGGTTTCGATATTAGGCTCTAAGTTGGACGCAGGGCGAAAAAAACGTCGAGATCGCTGACCGCCGCAATAGCCCCGCGTCGCGCTGGCCAATCGCGGCAGTCGGTGATCTCGCCGAATGTCCAACTCAGAGCCCATCCATGGATCAGCAGCACACCGGCGTGCAGTGCATGATGCACATCAAGGATCCAGGGTTAAGTGGTTGCTTTGCGCCTCTAGTCTACTATAGCCTCGACTCACTGTCGCAGTATATCTCAAAGGCAGGCCGACTTCGTACTTTAAAAAACATACGGCACGTCTGATTTACTTTTCTCGGGACAACATGCCTCACACTCTAAGAAATCCGGTACGTTTCCCTTCCCGCAAAGCACTTGGAAGATTTAATCACTGCAATCTAGGGAGCGAGCACGGCGAATTAGGAGACTCAAATTATCTTTAAACTTAATAAACCAGTTTGTACTACAACACTGAGAATGACGTTTTACGTTATAACGCCGTGCTCAGTGCCACAATCCGGACTGCTCGCTTTTTTTTAAACATATTTTTATTTCATCATATGCCGAGCCCACTTCGTAGTTTCCTGAGATTGGCAATCTCAAGTGCATTGTAGGAAAATGGACGCACTGGATTTCGTAAAGCGCAATAAAACAAAGTTTGAATTTTTCATAGCAAGCAGTGGGAGCTCATTAACTACACGTACACCGGGTACTTGGTAATCATTAAGCATTGGAAGTGTCCCAAATACAATCTTCTTTGTCTTTTCCCCACTTTTTCTTTTTGTTTTCTGTAGAAAGCCTAGCGCGAGGAAGGACCATGAGCGTCGTCGAGCTGACGTTCAACCACTCGAAGACGGTGACCGCTGGGGACACCATCCACGTGGTCTACACGGTTATCAACAACGACCTGGACGCACGCGATGTCTCGGTGAACGTGGACGCATCCGCGGTCACTTACAACAACCTCGATCCCGCGATGCTCGCGAGCACGTCACGGAAGTTCAATGTGCCCGCTGGCGCCGGTGAGTGCGATGACTGGTCTAATACCGAGACAGGTATGGATTCTGGAAAACAATTGTAGATACCTTGATCTATAAGTAGAAAATCAAAATTGCACATAATGCGTTTTACGGCGTTAAAACCCAATATCGCCGAGGTTTCACAGCGGATACCACGAATGTTTTACGTGCACGTACACCGTGACTCGCTAAATTTAGCGCGAACATTTATTCGATAAACTTAGCGGCAAAATCACAGCGTCCAGCGTTGGCGTCGTGTCATATAACGTCATAAGTTTTTCTCTAAAGGTAGCGAAAAAGATTTTCCGCTAAATTTATCAAGGAATTACTCCGCTAAATTTAGCGGAAATTTAGTGGAACATGAGGTCACGGTGTCACGTGACGTTGCATTGTCGCATAATGTCACAGCGTAACGTGACATCACCGTGTCACATGATCATCGTCCGCTAAGTTTAAACGCGGCGATGTAACTGTGTGCAGCAGTGTGCCGTGTCTCGCCTGCCGCCGCGTTCCAGAGCACGGTAAGAAACCGTTTTTTTTTTTCTTTTTTCCCTTTTTCTTTGCTTTTTTCGTATATATGTGCGTAAGTGTATCACATTCTACGTAACAGCAAAATCTAAATTGAAATAGCTGGTTCGAGAGAAGAGAACTAAATTGGTCTGGCTTGGCCGGGGAGGGAGGAGGAAGACAAGTATACTATAAAAATTATGGTCATTCGGTGAAGGTCTAAAATAGCGCCCGTCAGACATCAGCTAAAAAACGATGTGACTGGAACAGATTAAAACGCAAGAGTACATATGCGCGTGTCTTTTGAGCGGTCTATAGAGAGAGTATCGTGACCCTTGGCCAACACCTCGTCACTAAAGCATATATCATCCTACATCTGGTCTTGCCCTGCCGCGCTTCAGTGTCATCTAATTCACTTCACTCAAGACATAAAACTTGTAGTATTAAACGCGCTGAACCGTACGCGTTATCTAATCACAATCTAGTTTGTAAGTACTTAAATTGCACAATAGACGAATTATAAAATAAACAAGGAGCAAAAGGGAATGAGATACGAAAACAGTTAAAGCATTGCTGCAAGTTCCTCGCCAAACTATCAATCTGACGAAAGTAACAACAGTGGGTATTTATAATATTAAAAAAACTAAAAGTTGGCTTAGTTTACCATCTTCTGCCATCGATAAAGAACGGTACCATGGTGGCACAAGTATGTCTCGTATGGCCCATGTAGTAACAAATTATTCGAGAAAAAAAAGCATAAGCTTCTTGCAACAAGAATTACTATTATTATTATCATCGTGAGCGCGGATCGGAAAGCTATAAAAGATTTATAAAAAAGTGCCGTTTGTCAATTTTCATTTTTCAAACAGCCCGTAAATTGCGTTCATTTTTCGTTATAGTTCTATAACACTACATAAGTTTTACGAGTGGTTCATTTGACTGATGTTTCGATTAAGAATTAGTGAGCTAGATACGAAGCCACGTTTCTATCCTCAACCTTATGCACGAATCCTCCCCCAATGCAGATGAGTCCTTTGAGCTGAACATCGATGCCGAGGCGTACGTGGGTAAGCTGCATTTTGAGGGAATCGTCCTCTTTAACGCCGTGGCTTCCTTCGAGGGCGGGATCTTCAACACCCGAGACACCGTCACTGTCCAGATGCCCCCTCTCAAACTGGAGGCAAGTACTTCGTCAGCCTCATGTATTGCACCATATGTACTCTGCGACAGGGTAGATCCTCTTAAAGAATCCAGTCAATGTGTACCAATTAACGCGTGCAGTAAAACAATACATTCGAATTTCCCTTTCATCTCGCTCGCGTCTCGCACAGCTCAAACTTTCTAAAAGAGTTTTCGTAGGAAGCCATTTCACTCTTTAAACACCCCAACGGATGAACCATACTCGCATGAAGCGCCGATGGAAGCTTTATTTCGAAGTAAAATATAAATTCCAGCAATTAATATCCATTTTGGCGGTCGTTTACAGGCCGCCCGGTTTCGACGCGCACGAGCTTGTTCTCATTCCGCGGTTAGCGGAAAGACAACCAAGGTGAACACTCGGCGAAAACGTTGGCGATATCGCCAACCGCCGCGTTTGGCCGGCGTCGCGCTTAACCTTGGTTGCTGGCCAATCGCAGCGCGACACTGACCAATCGCGGTGGTCGGCGATCTCACCAACTTTCTCGCCGAGTGTTTACCTCAGAGACCCAGTGCCGTGCATGACTAGCTCTGGTGACAGATGGCCGTGTCATCCAGTACTAATCGTACATGCGCGCCGACTTACGAAATGCTATTTATAGTCAGTGATAGCTGAAGAAACGGCGGCGGGCGTGGCGAGCCCGGGTCAAGTTGCGGCACCGGTCGATAAAAAACAGACTCGTGCTCGTCACCTGAAGAATGTAATGGGTTACCATTAAAAATTACCGAGCCTAGTAATGGATTACAGTTACAAATTACTTTCGCTGAAAAGTAACGGATTACTTTACTCGCTACTTTACAAATCACTTTCACGTTACTTTTTCCGTACACTTATCCAAACAATCAAAACAATTTGATTTATTTTTAAATGTTCCTCAATACTATTCATTTCTCATGCGCACGTATTGCGGTAGTCCTTGTAAAAATAAAATATTGTATTTATGAGAAAGAGTGTAGGCGCACTGCGTTCACCTGTAAACTGACAATTAAGGCACCGAAAGCTGCAACCACAACCACCATCCCGCTAGCTTACGGCCTCCGAAAATGATCCCTGGAATTGTGCAGACAAAGCTAGCGGTGCGCATGCTCAGTAGCAGCGTGTACTTCCGCTACGAAGTTTGGAGCTAAAGAAGCGATCTACGAAAGTTTCCTTTTGACTCTGGTGTTTCGCCTGTTATGCACAAGAAAATAAAAATTTGGTTCTAACGTTACAATGTATAGCCAATGCAGAATGCAGGTGTCCCAGCTTACGTTCATGTGTTTCCGTAGATTAGAGGTTGTTGTTCTTGCTGATGACAATGTGTGTGTGTTTTGGCAAGCAAAGTATGCACTGAAACTCTAGGTTTGCGTTCTCCTTAATGCCCTGAATTTTGGAATAGTAAACAAAATAGCACGGTATTATTGACGGTCGCGGATGGCCGTTTTTCCTCGCTGATTTTCCCCACCTATTTCCAAAGAGGTGATCTGAATTAAATCGTTGGAGTGGAAATCTCCGTGTTCAGCGCAGTACTAAGAGTTTTCTAAAAACGTTATCTCAATTGCAGGGTTTCCCATGTTTCTTTTGTATGATCAGATAAATATGCTCTTTGTGAAGAAATAGACCTCTGGTACTTCTTTGCCGCAAACACCGCGGGTGTTATCCAAATAAATAGAGAAATATAGGTTCAGTCGGTTTATATACTGACATTCAGATTCTTCAATTAATAATCGCGGTCACCCTTTTTTTTTTTTCTTTTTAGAGGATAATGGGGTAATTTCGGAGTTTTATGACACCTATATAAAGTAGGCAGCTAAAGTGTAGAGCAATGTTTCATTTTTGTATGTGCTTATTTTATTGTACAATAGTTAACTCGTTCCGAGAGTGTTGCTTCGCATTAAACCAAATCGCTAGATTCTTGCTAAGACGACCGTTCTGCAATGATCGTTGGCGCTGAAAAATCAGGAAAAATTAGAAACGTATTCAGTTCTTTTCCACATGTGTAGCATGTGTAGATGTGCCTTTTGTCACGAGGATTTGCGGTTTCTCTTCTGTTGGGTTTGTTACCCGTACTAGACGGTGACTTCGCCATGACAATGTAACAGAAGCTGTAGAGGTTGTTGGGATCATGGCTAGCGCTTTTTTCTCAGACAGGCTTTAAGGGGCTACTGTCTGTCCTTCTCAATCCAATTATCATTTTAAGGATCTAACAGTAAAACGGTCTATCGCACCGAAACATCGATTTTTCAGAAAAAGAGACAAGAAAGACTTGTTCACAAGTAGTTCGTCTATTACTCGAGTAAACATACTTATACTGAAAATCGGGCAGGCCAATCTGCCTGCGCACTAGAATAACCACTTGTAAGTGCACAACACGCCTAATATATATACACTTATCACTGTAAGTATTTACTAGTGTAGCTGCTTCCACGATCAGAAGAAATATGTGTAACTATAGTCGATTAAGTAAACTCTAAACACGTCAATCAATTGAGCCTCGAAGCTACGAGCTGTTTACACCAATCCAGTGATAAAAAAGTCTCACGTGATTTCGACCACGCGAGCAAAAGTTTCGCCAAAGGGCATTACGCGAAGCGAGAAGGCACATGGTTGATGCGAACGTCTGCTAGCCGTGGAAACCTCTCCGAGTGGGCGGCGTTCCGATTGATATGTCGGCATTTTTTTCCAAGTAAACACGACAATGAAGTGACTAATAAATCAATTCGATGTTGTTGTCTTTGTTTGTTTCATAATTGAGTTAATATTTGTAATCGACGGCCTGCCCACATGTTCCAGGTACTGGCGAGAGAAGAACCGATGGGAGAACTGACGTACAGGCTCAGTCTGAAGAACCCTCTCCAAGTGGCCTTGACAGACTGCGAACTGACGGTCGAACTTCCGGCGTCCACTCGATTTCTCGAGACAACTGCTGTCGGGTAAGGAAACCGCTTCTCTGCACACCCACCAGGGTCGCTGACAGCTTACGAAACGCAAATAAGGCTAATCAAGCTAATAACCTAATGAGGCCAATCAAGCTAGTGACAATATAACAATGTCGTACCCATTGCCTTCTTTCTTTTCGTGATAACATCGACTAAATCAATCGAGCACAAGGAACGCGCCGTGACCGTGCTTTTCTGTACGTGTGTCTGCCTTAGTATGCATTCGCCTTTGACTACGTGCTCTGACTTACAATGAAACAAAGTAGATATACACCAACGCAGTGTTTACAAAGAAGCCCGCTTTGCCCATCACCAGCTTAGGACACTACACGCGCGCAAAAAAAAAAAAAAAAAAAAAAAACAGATTTCGGAGGAGTGAGGCCTCTGCCAACGTCACTAGATTACTTCAGTTGTGGAACTCCCGCGAAAGTGGGTACCCCCCCCCCCCCCCCCCTTACTCACTTCAATCCGCCTGCCGTCGTTCGAAGCGCCATCTAGATTTTCGTTTCTTAACTGTGCGTTCCAAAGAGCAGAGCTGAAGCGCCATCTAAACGCCGTGCTTCGAAACGTACGTATCCCGATTCCCATAGAATACACTGCAGTTACCATAGAGTTATTATAATGTACGCTAGAGGTTCAAGTGGCGCTAGTGTGCTGACGCAAATTGAAGCAGACAGCAACCAGTCGAAAATTGACTTCCGGTAATGCATTTCTATGGGAAAAAGTGAGTGCATTTTCTCTCTGCGCTCGATCATAAGAGCAAATATCCCGAATAATTCGTACGTACTAGGTAGCTTGGAACATTTCTCAGTCAGGCCGACGAAATAATTGGTCAGTTACGGTGTTTTTCTTTCAAATTCATCGCATTAAAAACGGTGTTAAAACCGCTTCGTATGTGTATTTATGTGCACTGTCGGACACTGTTAGCGCGAACACGACGTCGGCGCTTTTCAGCGTGGGGGATATACGTGCCAAACGAACGAAGATGATCGGGAAATTAAGAAAGACAGCAAGAACTACGCAGTAACACCGGATCAGTAACTACACGTGCATATACGATCAAAATTAATTGAAGGCCACGTAATCTATTCCTATTTTAAATAAGTAAGTACCGCTTTATTCTTTTCTGCTCCGAGCGAAGCTGCTTGCTCTACGTTCAAAATATCACTCGCACGCTCGAAATCTTCGAGAACAAGTGCCCGATAAAAGCTGCCCGGCAGAGAAAACAATACGAAGAGACACCTTTTATAGCCCACGGACTTTATTCTCCACGTTTTGAAGGACTATCCGCTCATGCACGACGGGGTCATTTTTATGTAGTGACAGGATTGGCGTATTATCAATATATAAGCGTCACCGGAATGCTGGCGAGCCTTGAATACACTCTACACTCCTTTCGATTGTAATTTTGCTTCGAATCGTCGCTTGTTTTTACACACCTGCTGCGGAACACACGTTTGGGACTGAAATGTAGCGAAGTTAAACATCGATCACTGATGAATTAAAATGCGCTAACTAAAGCAATTACACTTTTACAGTGTTAATCAAGGTACCTACTATTCGGTACGACCCAAATAACCAAAGTGTTCCGTGTTATTTTCCGGCGAAGAGGCAAAATGCACGCGCGTTTTCCCATAGGAATGCACAGAAGCACCGCAAAAGTAGACTGGTTGCTGTCTGCTTCAATTTGCGTCACGGAAGTCGCATAGACACTAGCGCCAGTTGAACCTCTAGCGTACATTATAATAACTCTATGGCAGTTACCAAGGCAGCCGTCCGGCAGCGCGTCGAGCGACTCAAGGCCAGAGCCGTTTATCGAGAGAGTTTGGCCATACATTGGTTTGAATAGGCGAGCATCTCGGGGCCAATCACAGGCCGCGAAACAGCCCCTAGCGGTGGTCGTGAACTCCAAATTTGTGACACGACTAATTCAAGCCGTTTTAGCGTCGCTAGAGTTAAAAGGTGTGACTCTCAGTGACTGAAAACTTTGTGCTTGCGAGGTTTTCGTCACGCCAATATTCAAGTGTAGAATAAACGAACGTGCGCTCCAAACCGGGGCCAACTTGCT